GGGTTCTGATCTCCTTCCATCTCGTACTCGTCCTCGGATTCGCTGCTCAATTGGCCGTCTCTGCGCTCCACCGGAGCCAGTCTAGCTCGCTATTGTCTCCGAAGTTGTTTGCAGGTGCGCTCAATCTCAGGATTCAACGGCAGTAAACCTCCCGACTGGCTACGGGTCATGCACTATCAGCACACAATCAAGCAATGCAAACCCGTGAAGGCACAAGTGGGAAGGAACAAACACTCAATGCAAAAATGAAAATGCTAAAGTAACAGAAATCACTTTTCTTCAACAACCTAGCCGTCCCCGGCAACGGCGCCAAAAACTTGACTCACTCCTACTGTCACTCTAGAAAATGGCCAAGTGTAACCACTTCCTAAAGCGTAGTATAGCGGGTTTGGGTTTCAATGTCAACCCGGGTCCTAGATGTGATGACTACTCAGTGAATTCGTATTATCTAGCGATGAAACTTTAGTGAAGGTCTAAACTAACAAACAAGCAAAGCGACTAAACGGTTGTTTTCAGGTTAAGAGAGGTCACCCGGATATGGTTCCCCCTAGTCTGCAGTTAAGCCGGATTGTAATTACCAAGTTCAATTTCTATGATAGTTATACTGCGGAAGGTTCTCAAACAGTCTGAAGTCTCGACTAAAGGTCTTCAGACCCTCTCAATCTGAGTCTCTAGCGGGCGACTAACCTCCACCGGAGTAAACAGATTGAGGCCCTAACGAACCAAACCTCCACTACCAAATGGGATTCGGTACAGAATAGCGAATTGGCTCCTCGACTAAAGTCACCAATTCGCCACCTTCAATCAAGGATACTCTATTAACCTAGGCATATATTCTCATTCTAGGTTAAAGTAGAAACAACAGGAATTTGATCAGGATTCAAGTCATTCAATCATTCAAACCTCAATCGAATATAATCAAGTCATAGAAACAATACTTGGGTTCATACAATCAATCCTAACATACAGAACTAGGGTTTCCCACATCCAGATGAATGGGAGAACTACTCCATGGAGAAAGAAGCAAAAGCAGAATCAGACGCGGAAATCATACAGTGAAGATGGATTTCGCTCCTGGACGTTGAATCGGCACTTCTCCAAGCTCAAACCAAGCTCCAATGGTGTTGAAGATCAAGCTAGGGCACTTGGAGACTCTTGTTCGTCACTTTCTCTCTCTAGGAATCGCTCTGTCTCTCAAAAACTCGAATCTCCTTCTGTTTTGCTCGGAATCCGCTTAAAAACCAGAATTTCCCGACTCGCACGGCCAGGCCGCACGGCCGTGCATATCACCACTTTGGCCGTGCGGCTCAAAACGCGGCGCATCAATTAATCGACCTTCAGCCATCTCGCACGGCCAGGGTTGCACGTTGCACGGCCGTGTGAGTTTCAGGGGTTGCCCGTGCGTGGCCTCGGCAAAAAGCGCACGACCTGGATTGCATGTTGCACGGCCGTGCGAGTTTCATGGTCTGCCCGTGCATGCTCTCGCAGAATTCCGCACGGCCATCTTGCTCACATGCACGGTCGTGCGAATCCCTGGTCTGGCCGTGCAGCCTCCTTGAAACCTCGCCATTCGTCCGAACTTCGTCCAACCGACCCCAGACTCGCTCCCAAGCCTTCATTCCCGTACTAGGACCTGAAATATCACAATCAAGCACAACCTAGCGTGAAATCGGCCTAAAACACGAGAATCAATACCTCAAACGGTGTAAGAACGGGGGCAAAAACATGTGTAAATAACGGTCTATCACCCACTTTGCCCGAGTAAGAGGTTCACGATAGTTCATGATGGTCCAAAAAGCTAACACCTCATATGGGGCAATGTCCCGCTTTTCAGAACGTGCTAACTGCATTGCACATCTACATGGGAGACCAAAGATAGCAGGAAACGTACATGTACAGCTTGCTCCTTCCACTGATACCTCAATGAGCATCAACCTCATAGCCTGTAGAGTGACGTTTGTATGCAACTCCCGAAATGGTCTTCCGTCTGCTAGTAACATCTTCTTTAATCTAGAATCCTCTAGAAGCTTTTGGATTTGAAGATGTTGAGCCTCAATGTAATCATGGTTCTTCTTATAAACCTACAAACAAAGAAAGAAAATTAGGATACTAGATTAAGTAAAACTTCTAAAGAAGACATAAATGAAAATTTATTAAGAGACTAACCGTGTCGATTGCACCAGTTGCTGATTGAAGCCACTTCTTGAAGGATGAATGAGCAGATTCATGTGACAAGTACCCCCAAAGACGTGGATACTGTACTCCCCAACTACGCCTGAAACTGTCTAAAGCTCTATTCATGCCTTCCTCACTGCCGGCATATACAATCCTTTTCCAAGAAGCCATGATCAGATCCACTGTCGGTTGGGCTGCATCTATCCCACAATGAGACGTCCTCCTCACCTCCGTTAGACACCGTGCTCTCACATTCCTGTCTACATGCCAAAGGCATAGTATATGAGTCGATGATGGAAACATTACCCCCACGGTCTCAACCAATCCTCCTGCTTTGTCACTAACAAATACATCTGGAGTGATAGAGCCAAGCAAATGTTGCAGATGCGTGAGAAGCCACTGGTACGACTCTTTTGTCTTGTCATACACTAGAGCAGATGCAATGACAAAGTTCAATCCCACCGGTGTCATGCCAACAATCTCAACCCATGAAAACTCATACTTGTTGGTCTTGTATGTTGCATCTATCACAATGACATGGTGCCAAGCTCGCAACATCAATATTGACTCAGGGTGGGCTAGGAACAAGTGTGTAAGCACGTTACGGTCATCCACATACTGCACATAGTAACCCTTCTCCCGAGCATCTTGAAAAGTGTACTGTAAGGCCGTCCTTTGACCAAGCTCTTCTTTTCTTATCTTATACAATGCGTTAGAAATCTGTCTTTTGTTCACCTTTCCATGCTCCTCTTTTCTCTCGTTCACTGCCTTGTGGATATTCCTTGGGGCGACACCGGCTAATCTCAGTTGTCTGATGTATTGCTTATCATCTTCGGTCAAAACATTCCTCTTACTTGATCCATTCGGAAATAGCTCCAGTTGATGATTGTGAAAACCCAAATTAGCACCAGGATTCTTTGTATTAGCCACTGCTAGTATCAACCAATATCCATCATCTGACCGCTCAATCTTCATCTGAAATTCACACCCCAACTTTCCAGAAGAAGTAAGAGGCCTCCTTTCCTTAGCCGGATCAGAATCAGGAGCCTTCGATTTTTTCTTCCTACCATGAGTGCACTTCAAGTATCGTCGCCTACTATCTTCATTTGGATTTTTTTTATTTGATGCCTTCACCAAATAAAACCCAAAACCCTTGGCAATCTCAGTAGCTGCTGCATATGCAATCAAATCCGTATCGTATTTTACTCCATTGACGAATTTTGAGGTGTAATCTTTGCCATCCCCTCCGTAATCATCAATATCCTACAATGTTAGATCTCATGATATAAGTAGGACTCCACAATAATAGAAAATCTAACGACTACATTTAATTTAACAATTATCACAAATAATTTAGCATTCTCTATATTGTCCTAAGCAAAATCCAACATTTAACATGGAAAAATTTAGCATTCTCTATTATTTACATACTATACATCTAATGTAAGAATCTTATTAATCATATTCTAGATTTTTCTATTCTTTATTTGCTTATTATACATCTAATCTTAATTTTGCATACAAAAGAATTCAATTTCACAAATAATTATGCTCATAAATTTAAAAAATAATATAAACTAAAATTCAACAAACTATCTTATAGACCAAACTATAAATCATACAAAAGAATAGAAATATTTGATATAAACTTAAAAAAACCCAAAAGCCACCAACAGAAGCAAATTTTCGGTTCCACCATGGCCTAACCGAAGCAAATTTTCGGTTCCACCATGGCCTAACCGAAGCCAATTTTCGGTTTCACCATGGCCTAACCGAAACCAATTTTCGGTTCACCCATGGACCAAACGAAGCAGATTTTCGGTTCATCCATGGCTCAACCGAATGTGATTTTCGGTTGGTCCATGGTTCAACCGAAACCAAATTTCGGTTGAACCATGGACCAACCGAAAATCACATTCGGTTGAGAATTTTTGGGTTTTTTTTTTTAAAACGAGATTTTTACCTCGTCGGAGTCGCTACTCATTGTTCGGACGTATGCTCGACGATTTCGGCTTCCAAATGTCGATGATGAATTCGAGAGTGTGGGAGAATGAGTGTTTTTTGCTTTCTAAGTGAAGGTGGTGTTTGTTTGCTAAAGGAAAGGTAAAGATGTTAAAAGGTTAAAAGTGTAACTTTGTTGTTTTTTAGGACGATCATTAGTAATTGTTAGGACGACCTTTATCAACTCCCTTTACAAATATGTAGTAGTAATTTTCATATTTAGTACTAATTTATCATTTTGTTGTAATGATTCACAATGGCAATGGTTTATAGTAGTAGCGATTTTACAGATCTGATAGAAGATCTTTGGTGTAGTAGTGGTTTTTTGGTAGCTTTTTTTTTACATATCGATAGCGACAACTAATCATTATATAAAAAAATATAAAACAGTACAAGAAATTCATTAGTCACTCCTGATGACAATTAAATCACTACAAGAAAATTGTTAAATCACTGCTAATAATAGTTCAATTACTACATGAAATCTAAAATCTCAACTATAACCATCAAAACCACTACTAATTTAAGTAGTAGTCATTTGTTAGTAGTAATATTTTTTACGTAAAAATTATCTATTAAAAAGAAGAGAGATATTCAAAATTTAAATTATTTAATAAGTAAATTTTTCTAATATTTATTAAATAAAATTTTTTATGAATTAGTTAGCTCTTATATCATAAAAAAGATCTCAAAAACCTTTGGCAACACACCCTGCCAACTGAGTCACCGTAACAATTTCTATACTCAAAACTGAACTTCCTATTCATAACAAAGGAAACGGGTAAATTGCAAGGTTGGTCATTAAAAGTGTTAAAAAGTTCACATTTGGTCACTAAAAGTATTTTATTCCATTCGTAGTCACTGAAAGTGGTTAAACATTACACATTTCGTCACTCTCCGTTAGTCTCCGTCAGCCTCCGTTAACACCGTCAATATTTTGGTGACGTGGCTCATAGAAGTGCCTAATCAGCCGAATTTAACCTGCCACATCATCATAAAATAAAACCCCCTACACGCTCGTTCAAAAATCCTAACCGAAGCCCAAACCATAACCTAACCTTCTTTTTTGACTCGTCTGACCTAAAAATTGAGTCAATCAACAGCTCTGCTTTCTTCCTCGGGGCGAAAGAAGAGGCACATGAGATGAAGGAAACGAGATTGCGATGAATGATGGGTTGTGTTGGTGGAGATCATATAATACTCTCCTTGCTTGCAACCGGAGCTAGTGCTGGGATTCACCCCACACTCCGACGCCACTTGCATCATCATTCTCAGCCAAGTCAACGACGTCGAGGGTTTGCAGGTCAAGACGAGAGGATGCAGAGGAGGAATCTCTACCGTCCCGCTGACGCCACCATCCGTACCGCCGCCGCCACTTTTCTAGTCTCCTCAATTTCCATGTCCATCGCTGAAAGCAAAAACCATGCACTATGCGTTCTTATACGCCATTTGATACCCTCCAAAGTGAGAAGCAAGTTAACTAGTGACTAAGATTGCAACAAAAAAACTCACTGTCCGATCCAAACTTTCACTTTCAACAGAAATCCCCTCCCAGTCAAATTGAATCCTAACCCCCCCCCCCCCCCCCACTCCTTATGAAAACCTAAAAAACAAAACCCTAAATCACAAAGTCCAGCCACCGAACCAACGAACCACACCAACCTCGTCGAAATACAGCACCCTTAGGGATTTAAAACTCACAGTCGGCTTCTTCATCATCTCGCTGGGTGGGTTCTTGCGGCGGCCCCCAATTCATACCCAAGCGCCGATACCAATCCCTAATGCCCAATGTGAGAGGAACAACTCAGCGATGGTTGGCTTTGTATGCAAATGTTGGTGGGTTCTATCTTGTGTCTCTACCTAGTCGAAGAATCTGGGAACACGGGCGGGGAGATGGGGCAAAGGGGGTCACGAGTTCTATCTTGAAGCAGTGACAGGGATGACTTTTGGGTGGGAAAAGGGGTTCATGGGTTTGATTGGTCAAAAGAGAAAGATTGGGTTATGGGTAGGGCTTGGGTTAGGATTTCTGATGTGGCGGGTCGGATATTATAATGTGACAAGTTAAATTAGGCTGATTAGGCACTTCTGTTAGCCACGTCAGCAAAAAATGACGGTGTTAACGGAGGTTGACGGAAACTAACAGAGAATGACTAAACATGAAACGTTTAACCACTTTCAGTGACCATTAACGAAATAAAATACTTTTAATGACCAAACATGAATTTTTTAGTACTTTCAGTGACCATCCTTGCAATTTACCCGGAAGGAAACCTATAATTGGAACCAAGAGAAAAGACTAACAAGCCCAAAAACTTTCCACATTTTCAGTTGAAAAAAGCATTATTTATTAAATTAATCTGCACATATTTATTAACTTAATTTATTATTATACCGAATATGCCTCTCGTTACTCCACACCATCAGATTTAACTATAAAGTAATCAACGGTGATTAGAATGATTAGCAAGAGTTAGCACTCTAACTTGTCCCGTGGAACTCTAGACCACCTATTTTCTTAGCGTTCGTTTGGAAGTTGTGATTTCAAATGGTGTATTGAGCTAATTCATGTATTTGTGAGATTAAGTCTTTTTTTCTTCTTATATTGAACTATAATTCATGCATATACTTTTTGAAGACTCAAAATTGAGTTATTATCAATCTCTACTTTTTGTTGAAATTCTTCACAATCACTCAAAATTAACTTTTGTAGCTTTGAAAAAAACACAATCTAAACTCCCAAAGAAGATATTTGCGTAATACATCAAATGATAATACACTAATTGTCTCAATACATCAAACCCAACCGATCAGGGAATGCTGGATAACGGTGGGAGAAGATTGCAGGGATCGTACACAGGTGACCATAACTGGACAAAACTGAATGAGCATACTAGGAAATCTGTAGCTAGTTTAATGATACGTACTAGAACGTAGAGAATTAATTAAAAACAAAAAAGAGGCAACGAAGACTTCAAAGCACTCAAACCTAACACATCGAAAATTGAACTTCAACAATACATCCTTACTCATTACCTTACATAAACTTCTCGGCTCCTCATCAACTAGTACTAAAACATACATAGACCAACAAATGTTCAAACCTGATATTGGTTAACATAAAGAAGAAAAAACAGTAGTTAAAAGTCAGGAGCAAGCTAATACAGAGATCTAAAACGCATATCCATGTCAAGCTCAAGCCTCGTCATTTGCATGTATTAGTTAAATTCTAACAATGTAGCTTCTTCCATAAGGATACCATTCACAATTGGTGTACCTTTAATTCCAAGGGCCAGCTGCTACACGCTTGAACTCATTCCTGGCATTCTCGAAGCGCCCTTTCATTTCATCAACCCACGATTGCACAACTGCAGTTCTGGCTTCATTAGCATCTAGCTCCATCCTGGTTGTGGCCAGTGTTTGTTGTAACGCCGATATCTCCTTTTGGATGTGCTGGATCGCTGCGTCCAGCTTTCTCTTCTCCTCGGAATGCTGTTGCAGCTCCCTTTCAGCATTCTTGACAATGTCCGGACACTCGCTCAACGGTTCCCTGATCGATAGCAGCTTGTTTATGCGGCCTCGTGGCAGAGTGACATCAAACCCATGCATTTCCATTTCGGATAAACTGTCGAGGGTGGTTTCGAACAAGGTCCTGGAATCATCAATGCCAAGGCTGGATATTTTTTCCAACAGATTGAGGAAAGTTGCCGTGATACCAATCGCTACGCCTTCGCGGTAATCCTCTTTGCATTCCATTAGGGGAAGGAAATGAGGTTTATGTGGCATGTTCTGGAATATTTCCTCGGATTCAAGTATTGCCCAAAGTGGTGACCTCTTCACGAAAGGCAAAGCATCATCAGAACTGGTACTAACTGGAGGAGAAGTTGTCAGAGTAACAACTTGCTGCCTATGTTTCCCATCACACAATCCATTACCTGACAGAGCAGAAGATAATCCAGAGCACAACAATAACTAAACAAAGTACTGGATCAGGGGAACAACAAAGAACTTAACTTTGATAATAAGCAACTTAATCATCACCTTCATCCGTACTTGTCGATGAGCAGCTGAGTCCTCCAAGCCATATTGATAGAGGTTGATGATCTTCGACAACACCCCCAGATGTAGTAAGTACCAAATCAGTAGCTTCATTTCCCAAACTCTCTATTCCAGGAACATCATCAGCAATCTTCATCGCCCGTTCATTTATAGCATCTGTAGAATTTTACAAGTAGAGTTCAAGTTCTAAAAAGAGTAAGACTGCACACTTCTTTAGCAATAATCAATAATTGTAGGTTTAGTTTACGCAATAGTCTCGAGGCTAACTCAAATTCTCATTCATCAATCTCCATCTTATTTTAAGCAGGCATGCTTTTTTTCCCATTTTTCCCTTGCCATTCTTAACTTCACCTTAATTATCCAGCTCCAATGATGGTTTACACCCAAATTTTCTCAAATGAAGCTATCTTTTTTTTACCTTCCATTTTTCCATTTTCATTCTTACCTGAATACTCATTCTCTGGCTGCAATTGTCCTCCAACTTCATGGTCAGTCACAACCTTTACAACCATTTGACTACCATTAACAGTGTCACTGATTTCCATACCTGCAGATCATCATGCATACTAACCTACTGAGACAAATGTACTACCCAACAATTAATGATTATGCTTGTATAAGAATGTGTATATACCAGTCTCAGTCATTGGATATGTGACAACTACTTTACGTGGCCTACCCCTCTTTCTTCTTTGACTCCCTGCAACGTTCTGCTGGTTTCCTGTGGTACTCTTTCTTCCTTGACTCCCTGCAACGTCTTGCTGATTGCCTGTGACACTCTTTCTTCCTTGACTCCCTGCAACTTTCTGCTGACTGTGTTCCTGTTCAAGAAATAAGTTCCCAAATAATTAGATTGTTCCATTTCATAAAGAGATTCAAATTCTTAATCGAGAGAGGAAGGGAGGGAGAACACAAAGAACGTTCACGCTACAGCATATCAGACAATTTGATGTTATTGGTTCGTGGTTCACGAATGAAGCTAGGCCGACAAATGTCACTGCTTGCATAAACTACCTAAATGAACATGGATCAACATTACACAACATAGAGCTCGAAGACTGTGCCTTGCCCCAGTACTCTACCTGGAAGTGTTGCTTTAGCTTTATTCAATTTCACAAACTGACAAAGTTCCTTACCACTGAATTCATCCTCGCGAGATTCATCCAACACTTGTTATCAATGGCCCCCAACCCTAAGGCAATAGGGAGTTCTTCCGGTACACCCTTAGCTTTCTTGACGTCTGTAATGGTACCGTGCCCTTGATTACTTCCCTTATCAGGAAAATCAGCACTCCAAATAAGGCCTAGACATGCACAATTAAGACAACTGAGGGTAAACAGGCAAGGTGTGATATATCCGCCGTAAGTTAATTTTAAGTTGTTCTGATGAAGTGAATGCATACAATTGGCCATAACTGTGTCTAGTTTGAACTTCTTCTTCTTCCTTGAGGTCGAGACATCTGAGACGGGCGTTTTAGCACGCACAGCTGAATCATCCACCATTAGTCCTTGTAGTTGAGGATCTAGGTATTTCCTCTTTGGGTTTATTGTTGGGTGCAGCAGGTTTAAACAGGAGTTACAGCTAGTCCAAGATTGCCAGAAGCAGAATCATGAGAATCCAGCTTTTCCAGGTGACTGGGAGCTATCACAGGTTCCTGAGGCTAAAACATTGGAGGTTATGAGATATACACAACTTTCTGGGTGCTCGGAGGTTTACAATGAATAAGTACCACCCAACATATGTTTCTGTCAGAAACACATCCCACAGGAGACCAAGTAAATATAAATAAAATTACCACTTATAAGTTATAACTAAGAGTATCATAAAATGATATAATAATGTGGTAGCACAACCAATATTTTAGTTCAGTATGTAATGCCAGGCCATTGATTGACCAGACTGTAAGCACAATAGAGTTGTTTCTGCCAATTGCAACAGGCATGCCAAAAACAAAACACAATGTATGAATCCATATAGTTAGTACCAGAAAAGGAGACAAATTTGCAAAGATTAGAAACAGTTGTTGATACTCTTACGAATCTTCAATCATCAAAGCTTTGTACATTGCATTAGCAAAGAAGGAAGGGAGGGGTTGGGAACTAGAGCCATAACAAGAATTCCCTTGGCAACTTATCAGGGAAAGGGAGGAAAGAAAAGTTGAAAAGCAAATGCCCAGGTTAAGGGATGAACAAAAGCCTCCACCTTTGATACAGCTGATGACTCAGTTTTCGATTCTCCATCATCCCGCTGTGAATGAAGCCTAAATTCCACCTAAAAATCCAATAATTATTTCTGCTGCTGAAAAGTCACCATATAACTTTCTCTCAGCAAAAACTGCAGTAGTTTCCCCCGCTGCCAACTACCATCGATCTTAATACTCACAAGCTCCAGCAAGTCAAAATCGCAACGTAATTTGCAAGGAGAAGAAGGCCAATTATGAAGAGAATCTACAACTACAGCATCAACCTTTGCTGCTATATCATCGCAGTTGTTCAAGCTATGACACTTAACCATGAAGGTTTGGTCCTTATTCTGCTTGATGACAAATGCAAGCATCACCCACTTTACCTTTCTCCAAGTTCATTTTGACCTCTATGCCCAAGATAAACCCAGACTTAAAAGCATTCAAAACGAAAAAGGAGAAAATGCATCACTTCAGTCCTCAATGAGATACTGCAATACTACCATAGTTATCAACACTATAGCAAAACTCGAGATGGTCAAATAGAGAAACCTTTACTAACGACAAACTGAACAATAAATAGTTACAAACTATGCCGAAACCAACTAGAAACGACAACTAGCCAAGAGATCATGAAACCCAATGCTGCGTTTGGATTCAACAAAGCTCCCTCATTTGATAGAAGAGACATTCTTTAATCCAAGGCGACCTAAAGAAAGACTCATTGCACTAAAAGCTTTAACCCAAATTCATGTACATAGGTTTGTAATTTGTTTAAGGGTTCTACCAAGCACATTTGACGGCTTCCAAGGTGCATGCAGATAATTAACCTTGAAGAAGCAGCAGGAAGAAGGATAGAAACATCAAACATGGCCGAACATTAGGTCAAATCTCACACAGGAATCAGACCTTTTTCAAACCGAAAAGGGAAAGTTAAGGAGAAAACCCCGCGAAAGAAAATACAAATTCCTACAGAACTCCGCAAAATGCGGCCACAAAGAAAAAAAAAACCCTCCGTTTCCGCCGCATGCAAGAAGGGACTCAACCAAAAAAAAAAAAACATCAAATGCAAATGCTGAGGTTCATCCCCAAAGCGAATGATCAACAGATATGATTAAAGAAGACCAGATATCGTTTCCTACAACCATAGACAACCATAATCGGAAAGTGGACAGACTGAAATTAAGTGGTAAAATTTAAACGACCCCAAAAGATATTGAGTCTTCAGAATCGAGGAAACGGACCGGAGATCGAGCTTGAACGGTGGTGCTGAATGGCTCATTTACAAGAACCGTGGCTAATTAGTGAGCTTGGTGCTGAACGGCTCATTTACAAGAACTGGAGACGAACGGAGAAACAGCCATATGCTGTTCGATATTTATTAGTGAGCTTTTCCCGTTCATTCTCGGTGGCTAATTAGACGTTTGGTCACTCGAATTATTAATTGTTTTTACTTTTGTCATTTAACCAATTTTTTTTATTAGTTGTTCACTTTAATCATTGTTTCATAGCTAATTGCTGATAGTTTAATTCAATTAGATTCATCCTATGTGACAATCAACTATGAGATTTTCTTAAACTTTTATTCTGTAAGAGGAACTGTCAAATTCAACTGAAAACAAAAACTATAAATAAATATATATTGTCATAAGCAAATGAGATTTTAAACGTCGTCTATAACAACATTTAAAACCACATAAAATGATACTACTGAAAGTGTTTTAAAACAAAAATGCCCCAGAAATGGCATTTTTGTTAAAACGTTGAGATGGGAAGTGATCTAAGTTAAATAGTTGTAATATGGAGTGCTTTAACGACAAATCAGCTATAGTAGCGTTTAAGTACAACGTTTAAACCACTTAAAGCGCTGCAAGCGAAAACATTTTATCTAAAAAGTTGTTTAGCTCAAATCTAAGCCCTTCGCTCTAATTGGTCCAATTTTTTGTACACAATATAGATGCAGGGTGGAGCGCTTTAAGTGACATGGCGCAAAGCACAGATAGCACTTTATGTAAAGCGCTCCAACAGTCAGGGTTTTATGTGCAATCCTTGACGTGCTCCGTTCTAATTGGTTCATTTTATTGGACCCATATAGCTGTTGGGGACAACGTTTTGTTTGGCGTAAATAATTGTACCTTGCATAGTTTTACTCCCAACTCACTTCACTATAAATACCCCACTCCTCTCTCATTTCAACTCACACACCATAATGTGGTACATGCCGAACTCGTGGGAGTTAAAAAAAAAAAGGGGGGTGGGGGGGAGCTCTCCCCTGTCTCCTTCTCCTAGGGTATTGGATTGGTAATCTACTGATCACAATGGTGATTTCAATCTTCTCATACTGCTTGAGAAATAAACTTCTGAATCGGGACCTGAAGACAAACAAGCGGCGGCATCCCCTCAGGGCGTTGGACTTGGCTTTCTCGTCACGTCGCCAACAACAAGATCACACACCTAGCTATGGCTTGAGTACCATAGATGATTGTTGTTCCATTCGAAGGAACGGTAAACGGAAGCTTGAGATTGTCCTGACAGAGAATAACTTGTTTGTTCTTGTAAAAGTAAAACGTAGGCGATTTTCTAGAATGATCGTCTAGAGATTTAAAATTCCTTCAATAGAAGAATTAGAAATTGAGAGGCTAGCAAACAACACTCCCCTAATGGTTGTCAACGAAATGGCGACCGGGGCTGTCACCCTTTCTCAATCGGCTGATGATGATAGAGCTATACCCTTTCAAGAGGGATATCCCCGGCGGCGGGATTATGCTTTTCTATTCGGCGACCAGACAAACACCGTCGATGAGAATCATATGAGATATCCGAAACACCGGAAGTTTGTTAGGGAAATATTTCCCCCCGATACGTTCTCATCGATTAACGATATTTTTCAAAAAATATTAATTTCCCATTATCTCTTAATAAGAGTCCTCCCTCTAGTCGTTATCTACAAACCCTAAACCGAGCGATCTCTAGTAATCCTAGCAACGAGGTATGTCTCTTCTATAAGACTCTCGGGCCTAGTCCTATTGCTCTAATATCTTCGAATCTACGAGTTAGGGCTACAACGAGATCAACACAAGACACAACTTCTCCCATGCCCCCCCTCTCAGGTATTGTTGTCTTTCCTCCTCTTCTCCCTCGGCCAATTAATTTGATTGTATGCACCTCGTATCATTCCATTCCTGGGCAAAATATTTATGCATCCTTGGATTGCTCGGTCAAGTTTCCTCGCTCTGGCTTCGTACGTGCAGCATGCATGGGCATGATTTGTCCGCCATCACTTGGGGTTGAAGGGAAATCTGCTAACAATGATGACCCTCTCTTACAGGATCACAAAATGGCTCACGTTACCTAAGACCAGGTGGTTCTGTTCTCGATGGAAGAGGTGTAGTCAACGAAATATCGCACTTCTCATTCGTTGCATGGCCGGCTCTTCACTAACAATAGGATCTTGACCACAGAGTTCCGGGAATCAGTGATTACTCCTTGGCTCATCCAGGGACGACTCAGGGTGGTGATGGCGAAACCTGGGCTGATCGAGTTCATGCTCCCAGCGAAGAGGCTAAGATCTAGGTGCTTAAACACACTCCTTGGGTGATCAATGACAAGATTCTCCACCTAAGTTCGTGGACTCCTGTTATAACGAAGCAAATTTTTGATGACCTAGCAATTGCACCATTTCGGGTTCAATTGTGGGATGTGAAAGAAGGCTGTTGCACGCAGCAGTTTTGGAGGAAAGTGGTGAATAACACTATTGGCAAAGTGCTGGAATCCGGTGTTTTTGCATGTCAGGATACGGGTCGCTGGTTCGTGAAAGTCAAGGCTCTGATTGATTTCACTAAATTGCTCTGATCTCATATTATGGCTACTAATGATGACATAGGGTGTTTCTGAGTTAGTCTGCCCAGCTTTTGCTACCACTGTGGGAGGGTGGGACATTCACTTCGTGCCTGCACTTTTGATCCGCCAACCCGAAAGGAGAAATTCGGACCTCATATATCAATTAGGAAATTGGGGACACGGATCTATGACACTGAAGACCACAATCAAGCTTTCCCGAGAGGAGCTAATTCGATTTGGGTCCATAAAAATTACTGGGAACATAGGAATATCAAGGATGGTGCGGGGAATCACAGTGATCATGATGGTGAGATACAAGCGCGGGCTTACATACCTCAACCTCAGCACCGTCATCAGAACTCGGGGGCTGCTTTTCCCCGACGATGGCAGCGATGCAACGTCGCCAGAGCCCTCGGGGTTTCAAGGTATCGAGGTCACCGCAAATCATGAATGGTCGATCCAGTACTGCCAATGTGTTTGCTCGTGATCATGCTGCCGAGGCTCATAGAGGGCGCGTCCCTTTGCGACGCAATGAGCGAGAGAGATTGGTGGACGTAGAGCGGCAGGGACGCCATGCACAACATCTTATGGAGTTTAATGATGCGGTGGAGTTCCCGATGTCAGATCTTGATGGTGTTGATGACCACTTTGTCGCTGATCATAATAAGGTGATGATTCCACCTACTGAAATTCGACACCGGAAGCTAATCTTGGATGATTCTGAAGAGGAACCCAGTCCGCCAACTTCCTCCATTTTGGGCCGCGATGCGGGTCGATAGGAAAAGAAGAAGGAACGGAGGCTGGTGAAGATGGGGGAGGCCAAGACTGCTGCTGATCCAGTCCAGGAGCATACTGCTCCTCTTCCTGCCTACAAAAAGCAGTCGGCAGGTTCCTCTTCGGGTTTGCGTGCTGCTGTTGGGACCACCCGCAAAATCTCGGGCCAAAACCGTTTCGGGAAGGGCAAAGGAATCCGCAAGGGCAAGGGTGGCAAGATTTCGGTCGTGGCGGACTCTCAGGCGATTGTTTTCCCTTTGGCGAAGAAGGGGAAGTCGGCAGTGGACTTGTGCACGAAGACTGATGAACGGGTGGCTTCAGCTTCTTCTCTATCGGATGAGGACGAGCTCCGCTTTGAGATTAAAAGCAGGATTCCGCATGCTGATCAGGCTCGCCAAGTCCATTCGGGACATGTGTGACAGGTGGTCGCTGCTTTTGAGGCTAAGATGGTCATCAATGAAGGCAAAGAGTGTTTGGAAGTTGCTGACGGAGAAATTATTATGAAGCTAAACGAATATGGGTCTTACTTTGAAAATGGGGCCCGTAAATGTTCGCTTCAAGAGATGGATGGGGGTATTGGGGATAGTCCCATCCCCAAGAAGCAATTTGTGGAGGATCAGAATGAGACTGGAATGGTGAAGGAAGCCACCCAAGAGTGACCCCAATCAGATTAATGAGGCTACTGGCCTGGAATGTGAGAGGAATTGGACCATCCCTGATATGATCCCAAATGGAAAATCTACACGTTTTTATTACTTGACGAAGAAGCTATTGAAGTTGGGAAGAAGAAGGGCTGAATTTGGTTAAGTGTTCGAATAGTTTCAGGTAGCCTAATTTGGAGGCTTGGTTTTGTCAATTGGCACAATGAAAATTCAAGTTTGATAGCTTGTTTTAAAGATAAGAAGGTTATCTACACGATGGTATGCTTGGTAGCCCAAGAGGAAGTCCAGAAGGTCATTTTTCATATGTCCAAAGATGGTATCTGGAAAGCTGAAAAATGCCTGAAAATGGCTAAGGCATAAAACTGTTTTGTGAAGCTTTTTTTGGAGCTCAATTTGAGGAGCATGGATTTGTTTCAAGTCCAAAGGCTTCCACAATATGAAAGTAAGTGTGTTTTTCTACAAAGGGAAGGAATTGGATGAAGGATTGGAGTTCTTGAAGGCCTCGAACGAAAGGCGCGAAGTTAGTACAAAAGCTGTTTTGGACTGTTTGCTAGCAGCTTACTTGTGTTTGAAGAAAAAGAGTTTGTGGCCGAACTTTGTAACCTTTTTAGAGTAGAATTTTACCTTATTTGTTTCCTTGTTCATTTAGGTTTGTATTAGGTTTTCTTGGCTATAAATAGCCTTCTAATTTCGTTGTAAAAGAGAGACTTTGTGGAATTGAAATTGAAACTTTGGTTTTGTGCAAGTTTGCGAACTTGTTGGGTTTGGTGGACTCCAACCTTGTTGATTTTGTGTATCGATTGATTAATCCCTTCAATCGTGGTCGAGCAACTACCTTTTTATAACATACGAGCTTTCCCCAGGTGTGGAATTGTCTGTTGGTTCCGTTTTATCCAATTTCGTAATAAGCACGCGTTGTTCTTCATTCGAGTTCAATCAATCTTCGGATTGATTGTTTGCCTCGTCACACCTTCCCGCTCTTCCTGAAAAAACTGTTGGCTTTGGTACATCAACCGGCTTTGTTCATGGCGGTAATTCCTGTCCTGTGGAGAATTTGGCGGTCTCGTAACTGGGTTGTCTTTGAGGGCAAACAGTTTGGGATTCCAACTTTGATGCGATAGTTTAACCAACAAGTTTAGGAGTGGGTCTGTTTGTCGGTGGACCGTTTTCACCAACTCCCCGGTACTCACACTCCATCCTTGGGTCCAGATGGATCTACTGTGGCGGTTTGTATGTGGGATGAGGCAGTAAGGAGTGGGTCTCATGAGGCAGGCGGGATGGTTATCATGACTCATGCTAGAGAGTCCTATTGGTAAAGGGGATTCAGTTCCCGTTGATTGATGACCCTATGGTAGTTGAGTTACTTGTTCTCCGGGAGGCTATTTCGTGGTGCTTGGGATATGGCTTTTAGAGATGAGGTTTGAAGGTGATGCCCATATGGGGCTTATTCTTGAAGAGATAACCGGATGGGGCTTATTCTTGAAGAGGTTGTCCAGTCTTTCGCAATGAACATGAGGTTTAGTGTACGATTTGTAGGTCGGAGTAACAATAGGATAGCTCATTTGGTGGCTCGCAAGGCCGTTTCTTTGTACCCGACTACGAGTCGATTCTTTGATTTTCAGGTCTGGCTGGGCTCCAAGATGTAACTATCTATTTGTTCAATCAATATATGATTATCTTTTGTAAAAAAAAAAACAACCCACACCACCATCCACTCTCTTCTTCATACAACCTCCATAAGTCAAGGATTCCCTAGTATGCTATGTGGTTGCGGCTAATCCCAATCTTTCACACCAAAACGCTATCCTTGTGCTTGTGATACCCCTTCCCCTTTTTAAAATTTTAGCGTAACTCTATTTTTCATGAATGAAAGGGGAAGCTTTAAGGGTACATAAAGTTTTTTCTTTCCGAGTTTGTTTGAAAATTTGGTGCACTTTTTATTTATTTTAGTGATTTATCATCGAGAATGATTGGAGGAACGATCTAAGACCTATGTCTTAGTAGAAAATTGTGATAGACTCATTGAAAATCATTGTCTTCATGTCCGTATGAGAATCATTGGAACGTTATAAGACAAACATGATATCTCAGTAGAAAACATTAATTTCTCGTTAAATATTATTGTTTTGTTGATGGATGAGCTCTATGATTTCCAAACTTACACATAAATCCTAAGCCGATAGACTCAAAATTATTGACCTATTAAAGGAATTAACGATCATGCTTGGCCCTTGATCCTCCATATCATATATGTGTAAATACAGTTTCAACATTTTATCATTGACAAACTTACTTTTCTTTGTGTTGTTTAATAGGAAGAGTATCACCCCATCATCTATAGGGGGAATTCGCGATTGCCAACGTGGCATAGATGGTACGAGCCTTACCTTCATAGATCGAGATTGTTCTGAGCACGAGTTTTTGTAAATATGCAAACTGACAATGAGTTTATGATGGATTTGGTAGAGAGGTGACAACCTGATACACATACCTTTCATATGTCTGAAGGAGAGATTACTATCATGATGATGGATGTTGCAATCATTACTAGGCTGCCGATCAATGGAGAGGCCATCACGGGGACGTCCAGACATTTGGAGGATGGTTGGGCGCAACAAATACTTCGAGTCTTGGTATTACTACCCAAGTTAATGGAGATTAAATATAAAGAGAATAATGTGTCAATCATTTTATGGGACTTTTCTTTTCTAACAAGTCACAAACTTACATCCATGGCATATGTCTGCACATACTGAGCGATTGGGACGACATTGGGAGGAAGAGTTGGGAATCCGCATGCTTGGCTTGGCTTTATCGCGAGCTATGTAGAGCTACAAGTGCCATGACGTCTCAAATTAGTGGTCCTACTTTCATCCTTCATATTTGGTCATGGGAGCATTTCCTTATTATTGCTCCTCCGCTCAAGCCATCATCGGAGTGGGAACCAATCGATCCACAATGGGATGATGCTTATGGTGTTAAGTAAGTTTTTTGCTCTCTTCTTTATTCACATATTATCTATTGCCCTAATATGTGTAGTATATGACAAGCAAATTGATAGACTTTGGCGTAACAAGGTAAATATTAAAATATGTGTATAATTGTGAATTCAAAGGATATGATTAGGAATTATTTTTTATAAATGAACATCAATGTGAATGTAGATTAGGTGGAACCCATATCCCTTTGAGGTGGTCTAAAGGCATAGGTTGAGATATCCCAATGGTCACAACTATTGGAGTTGTATAGTGCCTCCAGTTTGTTTCTTCATTATCGAGTGGAACCACCTCAAAGGTGTACGAGGCATTTTGACATCAACCAACCAATTCCTCAAACACCTCCGCGTGACCTTCAAGGACTGCACAACGTGGACGTTCGCGCCAATGCAATCGACTGGGCCACGTACCATGATGCATATCTAACCTTATGGGATAATAGTGCGAGTCGTGTTCTTCGTGGTGAGACGTTGAATGGTAGGGAGCCGGGGTACCAACTACCAAGGCAAGACCAGTACATGGTATGGTACCGAAGGTTCACTCTATTATGGGTGTCTCAATAAGGTGCAATGGTTGGAGCAGTGATAAGTCCAAATGTGGTTTTGTTTTTGTTTATTTTATGCTTACTATTTCTCAATATGTGTGCTTTAGATTGATGACTTGGATATTGCAAGCTCAACCCTCGATTAATTAATTACCCTTGGCAATTGGCATGCAAAGTGCAAACATTAGGGATGGCAATTTCGACCTGACCCGTTTTACCCGACCTGTTTGACCTGTTTTGGGGCGGGTCCGACCCGCCCCGTAGGCGGGGCGGGGCGGGCATGGGTAGTCTTATCGACCCGACCTGCCCTGACCCGCCCCATTCTTGACCCGTTCTTATCTAAATTACATGAAATTTTAGTCAAATTACTTTGAATTTTCCTTTTATTGCATCATATTTTAGCTATAATAAAGTTGTAAATTAGTGAAAACCTCAATTTCTCCAATAATTTAACTACAATTGTCATAATATTGTTTGTTTTCTTAGTTTTATAATAAAAATAACGAATATTTCTAATATTTTTCATATAAATTGCATACCCATTGGGTCGACCTGCCCCGACTCGTGACCCGTGATCAATTACCCGACCTGGACCCGCCCAGCCATGGGGCGGGTCTGGGTACCAAGAAACCCGCCCCGGACCTGCCCATTGGCATTCCAAGCAAACATATACTAGCCATTGTAATCTACCGATTTTTTGGGCTTTAGATTCTCCGGCCCAATACTAATGACGCGACCGAGACACAGACACAGCAAAGCTTAGCAGCTAGCAGCCTCTTTCTTTTCATTCTCGTTCGCTCTCTCTCTCCCTCTAGAATTTGACCTCCATTTTCACAGAAGGAAGAAAGGAAAGAAAAAAACTATTAGACGCAAAAACAAGGGAAGAAAAAAGGAAAGCAAACAGCCCGGCAGCAGCAGAGCTGTCAACGTTTTCAACAACTTAGAGGGCAAACCAAAGGGAAGAAAAAAGAAAATTCCTTTTTCAACTCTCTCCATCTTCTCAACTGATTGTAATCCTTGGGGTTGGTTGCCAATTTCTTTCTGGTTCAAACCTCATCGGTAGTGGACTCTGCGTTTGGTGCATCTGCTCTTTTTCTTAAACAAATCAAAATCTCCCCCTAACCATCCAGAGAGAAGGGGCTCTTTGGTTCTCTAATGGGTCTTGTTTGTTGGCCTCTCCTTTTCTATTCAGGTTGTTTGTTGGTTTGACTCCGGTTGAAGCAACCCATTTTTCCTTCTTCAGCCCCCTCTCTCAAATGAGCTTTGTTTTGTTCTCTTGTACACTTTGGGGCACTAGTGATTGTGTTAATTGGAGTTGAAAACTACGAGGCTTTGTGCGGGCAAGGAAAAAGGGAGTTGCTTGATATGGTTGCCGGGGAGTATTTGTGCTCTCACAAAAGGAGAGGTTTAGGGTTTGTGTATTGGATAGTCTTCTCTTTGTGGTTTGGGTTCGTGGTTCTGCTGCGTCCTGTGGTGGGGCTGAGGCCCTTGAGGGAACAGAGACGATCATGGGGCGATGAGGTCAGTTTTGAATTTTGACTTCTTTCCTTCTCTTTTGGGTTTAATGTTTGGTCAATTTTGGGAAAATGTTGTGCATTTGCGATGGACGATATAATGCTGAGAAGTTTCCTGCTCTAGTGACTAGTGAGCTCCCTCGCAGTTTTTTTCAATTAAATTTCGCCCCATTTTGTTTCACGAGGGAAACTCTTCTTTACGAGGTTTTCCTTTTTGAGGTCTTTTGTTCCGTTAGCTGTTGGCTGAGGGTTCTGTATTAGCAATAAGTTGTGAACTGGCTTGTGAATTGCACATGAAGTTGTTTCTAGGAAATGCGTGCAGGGGGGAATTTGTGAGTCTGCTGCTTGCACCTGTGACTAATGAAGTGAGCAACTTCTTAATAGAGTGTAGTTGTTGGAGTAACTTAACAACAAATGGTGCCGTGAGTATGTTTTGTGCTGAGCTGAGAAGAGTCAGATTCCTGCTAGTTTTAGCAACTAGAGTTCAGTTATGAAGCTTGAATGGCCGAGCAAGATTGCTCGTCTATCCTATCGGACGCTAAGAGTTAGTTTGAAAGTTTGAAATAGGAATCCGTCTGCTTCTAAAGTTTTATTACAGGAACTAATTTGGCTGTGGATGTTAGGAAGTGAGAATATCATGGGAGGGATACACCCTTGCTCTAGTTTTATTGAAGATCCAATTGATACTGTGGGACTCTTTCAATTATGTTTTGATATTGTATTTCAGGTTTTGAGGAAGATAGAAATCCATATATTATGCGCAGATGTACCAGCAGAATGTTGCAGCATCATCAACCTGAGTGTACTTACTTTATGCATGTTCTTGATTTTGATTCTTGCAGTGGCTATTTGTTAGGAAAGAAGAAAGTGACCTGGGCCCATTTTCTGCATGGAACATTACAGGAACTTACCGAGGTTTGTTCACTCGAGACCTTAAAATGGCTTTCAGAACATGTCATGTATGCGTATGTTCAAAGTGTTTCCTGATTTGGGAATAACTCACTAATATTGTGCTTTGTAAGCAAGGTTGCCAACCCTTAATATTTTCTTATGTTGCATTGGATTCCATAAGTTCTGGGGAAGCATTGGCTTGTTTAGTTTTTCATAAATAGTTGCTTAAGTAGTGGCCTAAACCTTAGAAGGTTGAGACACGTTGGTTAGTTGGAAAGTACACCAGGAAAGTGAAATGAAGTTTGAAGAATTATTAAGCTGTTTGACATTTGAAAGGTTTGCAAACACATTTTATGTATTCATCTTGATGGTCATAAATCCTTTGTTTACTTCTCTTATGGTTGATTAATGTGCCTATGCTTGGGTCATGAACTGCAGGGTCTTGGAAGTTCCTTGATTCTGCAAATAGCTCTTCCAGGTTTCCAGATTTCAGGAAGTCCAATGGCGATTCTGTAATTGAGTTGGTCAGCACACAGACCAAAATTACTGGTGTTCACTATGTCCAGGTGATTTTCTTCTTTTATTTCCTTACTAGGGGGGAAATCTGTGCTATGCTACTGGAAACTGGAAGTATTTGATAGAGCAGTGCAAGCTGTGAAATTCTCTGTACGGTTATACATGTCTAGTAAACGTTGAGCTGTCAATGGTATTAGTTCATGGCAGTATGTAGCCTAAAACAAAATAAAAGAGGTAACAACCTGTTTCGCGAAGAACATAGGAAGGCCTTTTCTGCTCATTCTCTGACTCACCTTTCATGGAGGCGGCTTCCATTTTCTTCCCCATTTCTGTACTCCGTTTTCTCATGTTCTGAATGTCTGCTGAAACTTCTATAATGAAGTCACTCTCTGTTAGGTTATGATGGATGTTAACAGAAAGCTGTTAAACCCTATGAAAAAAAGAACGCTTTTACAACAAAGTAATAATTAAGTACCTTCAGAGCTGAAAAACGAACGACGTTGGGGGTTGAAGCTCATCATAAGGAACCAAGAGATTTTTCTTGACAATCAACTGTTTCATTAGTTTGATTAAGCTAGACCTTTATCTTCGCTGACAACGTCATAACTAACTGCTGCTGCTGCTGCAGTTTAATCAGGCTAATCCCGGGAACAGTGTCTTAGAAGCATTAAGAAAAGTAATCCTGCAAGTATTGACAAATCACTGAACTCTGCATTCTATACGGTTCTGTTTCCGGACTGAAGAACACATTACAAAGTGCTATCGAAAAGCAAAAATCTTTGCAATTAATAACTTAATTAGTCATGCTCATAAAGACTCTCAATCAAATGACCAAATGCCTTTGCATTGCAGCTTCAGGAACCTTTTCGGATTGCCAATAGAGTTCTCACCTATCTCCTATGGTTTAAACTCCAGATCAATTGTTCATCAATGTACATTCAAAAGGATCTTGCTTTTCTGTTTGGTAGAAGAAAAGGATTTTGCGTTTTATACACTGCAATCGGTGAGAAAAGAAAAGAACAACCACAAAAACAAAGCAATTATCTCTAACACCTATATCAGTGCTGAAACTCCTTTTGTTTTAATGTTGCGGGGAAACTTTTGATACATAGGTCCATCCACAAAGTGTGATGTACGGTTCCAATTGCAAGAACACCAGTTGGCCGTATATGTTAGAGAAGCTGTTAACTCAAGTCAAAAAATGAAGTTGCCTACTCAAACTTACGCGAACTTCATCATCTGAAGCTAGAGCTAAAGATACAATGGTAGTTGCCTATCAACACTTGCTCCTACAGTTTGGTAAATAAAGAACATTGAAGTATCATCCTCCGGAAGGAGAAATTAACTAAAAGGAATTGGACAAGCAAATCTAAAGAGAGATCACAGGAGAGAGGAGGAGGAAAGGAATCGTTGGGAGAGAGTAGGGGAGAAGAAACGAGGATTATACATAAGGATCGAACGGCTATGCTCGGGCAAGCCCAAAAGTGGTGTACTTGGGCCTACAGTAGAAGTGCTGCAGGCAACCTAAACTCTACTGATAAACAGTGTTTTCAGATCCCCGCTGAAGGAACAGTGAACCAAAATTTGGATGCTTATGTTTTAATGATTCTAATAATACTTTTCAAATCCTTGCCATTTTACCGATTTTCAATTAATGCTTGTATTGGAACCACAGGGATGAAATATATTTTGATTATTTTTTATACCAGGGTGTAATTATTTTCCATGATGTGTTTGACAATGAACACAATGTTGGAGGGGCTCAAATCAGGGTGGAAGGTGTTTATATATGGCCATTTAGACAGCTTCGGATGGTGGCTAACAGGTAACTAAGTCTAACATATTGCCATTTCATGTGTTTCTTCCGGTACATATATCATTCCATATTGATTATTGTTGCCACGAGGGTAGATATCGAAATTAATGGCCCATCTTTGCTAATGAACCTGTTAATGACTTGCCTCCCCAAATATTTTGGTCACAATTGTGGTATTAGACCTGTCATTATCTGTTGGTAGTATCTGTGTATGAAGAAGACAAGCACAGTCACCAATTTGGCATTATAACTTTGCTTTTGGATTGTGCCAGTAGAAAAGAAGGGGTATTAGCCCAGGAAGACGATTACATCTTGTCTAATCCGTATCATCTGGTAAGAAATATTAGTCATCTTGCTCAAGCTACATTATCAAATATCAATGCAATCTTATGACAATTATGCTTTTTGTAGTAGTTTTCTTTTCATTTTATACTTTACTGGATGTGAAGATAGTCATAGTAGGCTGAGGTCTTTATTCCTTCATCAGTCAGCAGGGCTTATTAGTCAGCAGATCAATTAGATGGTTTCTTTTCGAGGCTGACAATTCTCTAGTCATTGCTCATTGAAAGTCACTGAATACTGTAGTAGATAATGTTTAATCTGAACTATGTGCTGTTGTTTCCAGTTCAGATGTTATTTTAGTTTCTATGGTTGCTTTGTCGTCTTGATTGTCATTTGGTGTAACTGAAGACTTACAGCTCAATTATCACTTTGTCGTTCAGCTTGGAGTTTTCTCATCTCAGGTTTTCCAAGACTCTCCAAAAGAAAAGATATGGAGAAGCAAAACTTGTAACCATCTAAACTCAACTTCAACTGGTTTCGGCTTAATCTTTTGAGCATTCACTTAAACGGTATTTACGCTATAAACTTACACATGTCTTTGCAGCACCAATTAACGAGATGGAGAAACATTGCAATATTGAAATTGCTGCCCAAGTTACACGAGTCTCAACCAACCAAAATGGCAAGTAACTTCTTTAAGGTTTTGCTATTTTTGGACCAGTTTCTGGTTTTTGTTCTGCAATGTTCTTATATCTGTCCATCTAGTTGTTTATTAGGACAATTTGTAACAATATTCCTTAACAGGCTTTCATTTTTCTTATAGAAGCATTTGGTTGGATGAATGTGGGAGAACGAAATTTAAGTTAACACGTAATTGAAAAGATGTATCTTTTTTTCGTTTACACTTTTGATGTATTAGTTTGCATCTAAAATCTCAGAGACAATTTCAAATGCATGAAAATGATGCAATCTCAAATACTTGTGGGTTGAAAGTTCGAATTGGACCCTAGAAAAGTGTCCGGCATGTACTTTCTTCACTTTCTTACACGATCCCCTGCAATAATGCCCTGAATTCGAAAACTTTTTCGCTACTACATCTTATATAATAGCTTGAGAGTAACATTGATTTACAAATACACCAACCTAAACCCACAGATAGTTGTTCATCCCTCTACTGCATTGGATCATTCTGCATCTCTGGTCATCGTAAATATTTAAGCACTAGAAACTCCAGGAATCTTGTGCACCATAGATTTTGAGATTGAGATTAAAATTATCCCTACCCTTATTGACTGACATGCAAGTTCTCAAAATTTTATGTGCACCGCCCATTTATAAGTTGGTGCCAATATTCATGTAGATGGAGAGCATGACCGTTATCACTTGGAAGGATTAATGGAGAGTCCTGCTGTGGATGATGATGGGGAATGCTTCTCTCCCTTGTTGCTAAATGCCACTTCCGTGAATATTGAGGTGTACTACAATAAAGCAGTGAACTACACCTTGATGGTCACTTTTGTATCCTTTCTGTGTGCAGTGTTCTGGTGGATTCGACCTAATGTTTTTAATTTTATGGATTCAACCTAATTTTTATTTTGTTATGGTAGCACATGTTTTCAGTGTGATCCTTAACATTCTTTGGATTAGGTTTCTTTTCTTCAAGTGCTTTTGTTGATACGACAGATGGAACATAGTAACACACAGTCGGTGAGAGCTCTAATATCCACCTCTGCTGAACTTACTAGTGTCTGAAGATGTCATTGGCTATAGTACCTTGATAATTATTTCAAATACCAGTAGTTTTGGGGGTCAGAAAGGTGATAGTTCTGGTTTTTCTCACTTGGCAGGGAGCTGCCAAAGTTTCAATTTTGATGATTGGGCAGCAGGCCATCATGGATGCTTATCTTTGCCTTTTACACCTAACTGCCGGGATTTTAGTTGGTAAGTTTGGCAACCAAGAAGGTGCTGGATTTTGTGCTTTATCCAGCTGACTTGATGAAATCCAGCAGATTTTGTTGACTCTGATTTGTTATGGATTCTAGAGATTATCATAACAAATGTCAGTCATTGGCTCTCACACTCCTGCCTTTTTTGTAATGCAGAATCCTTGTTCAATGCTTTTGCTACTGCTGCATTTTTCAAGTTTGTGGTCTTTTCAATTTTCGAAATGCGGTACCTTCTAGCCATATGGAAGGCAAGCAGGCCTGCCAGTAGTGGTGAAGGTTGGGAAACAATGAGGCGTGAGCTTTCAGTATTATATAGTCGGTTTTGTAAGTATCCTCTTAAACTCTTGCCCCATAGTTTGTATAGTTTTTCTGTTCTCATTTACAATATCATATAGCATTCACTCTTAATATTGGCCAAGTGCTGGCACCCTTCGTGCCTCTACATATAATATCTATCTTTGGAATCCAATTTTGTCGATGGTGTAGACCCCACTTTAAATTTTCTACATTTCTGATTCTACCCATTTCTCTTCTGTAAAACTCCAAAATTAGATCACATATTTCTGACGTTCTTACGGTTTATTAGCTATGTTCTCACTTTAAATTGACCCAGAAATGAACCAACCAACTTGGTGTAACTAGCTGGTCATTATTTTTGCTGGCTGTTCATGAACTTGATTAGCTGATTTGCATACGAATATCTTTCCGTGCAGATGGGATTCTTCTGGGAGGCATTCTGCTTATGTACGAGTTCCACAATTTCCTGAGGCCACTTCTCCTCCTAATGTACTCGTTTTGGATACCTCAAATAGTTACCAACGTTATTCGCGACTCAAGAAAGCCATTGCATCCTTATTACATCTTAGGCATGACTGTTACTCGGCTAGCAATCCCATTGTATATATTCGGATGCCCTAATAACTTCATGAGGATCGAACCAGACAAGACTTGGTGCACATATCTGGTTATATTTGTTACCCTGCAGGCATCAGTTCTGCTTCTTCAACACTATCTAGGATCCAGATGGTTCATTCCTCGCCAGGTAAAGGATCACTTTCTTGGTGTCTACTAACATGTTTCCTCCATCTAGAAAGCCGTTTGGTAGTTAACCAAGAAAGAATTCTTGTGTGTTTTCTTCTTGTGTTGTAGATTCTACCCGAGAGATATAGCTACTACAGGAAATTCGATCAGGAAGAAAATCACGCGACGGATTGTGTGATTTGCATGACCGGGATTAATATGATGCAACGTCCCAGCGATTGCATGGTAACCTTGCATTAAGTTCTACTTGTGTTTGTTTTTGTCACTGAGCTAGCTATCCTCAATGAAACTGTGAATTGGTGACACAGGTAACGCCTTGCGACCATTTCTTTCACTCGGGTTGTCTACAGAGATGGATGGACATTAAGATGGAATGTCCAACTTGCCGGCGCCCACTGCCACCAGCCTAGCTAGCCATATTTTTGTTCATACACTGCATAGGAAACTAATTGACATCACCACCCCAATTTGGTAAGGGAAGGGAACCGCCAAAGAGCCGCCAGATTTGTTATCTTTCATTCAGACGCACGAGACTGATTTTGGGTTACCCCCAGGTTGGTAGATGAACCCTGTACTCACTTTCGCCCTTTCTGCCCCTACCTTAGAGAGGGTAGCTTGAGGTACAAGGCATAAAACAAAACATTTCACGGGGATGTTTTTCTGAGATTTATGATGTACTTTGACACACGCCTTCTCGTATCAATTGTATAAATATAAGTGAAACCTTTCGAGGAAAGGCTTCACATTTGCAGCTCGTTTTCATTCCCAACGATTCCCTGTATTCTCTCTATTGGCCATTTATTCCAACAGATGTCATATCTCTGTTCGTATATAGCAAGCAGAAGCATTGAAAGAATCTAGTCTTCTCTGGCCTCTGCTGCTCTTAGTGTGCGTCTTACAGGTGATGTTATTTTCTGTGAGGTATTTAGCTATTCTGGAATTGTGAGTTATCCGCATTACAACCTTCCTAATATTTGATTCCCAGTCAATTTCTGAGACCACGGACAACACGAGTCAGCTATATGAAACTCTTCAAACTTTTATCGAGCCAGAAATTTGAACGAGGGGGCTAAAAAATATATACTTGAGTGATCTGAACCACGGTCATTAGTGAGGGAGGTTAGTGACTTACCTACTAGTCTATTTTTAGAATTTATTTTATATTTTACATGTAAATTTACCTATTTTCGAAAGTTGAAGGGGTTATAGCCCACCCTGAGCTCAACGTGGCTCCGCCGCCACTGAATGTTATGACATGCTCGAAGAATAATAACGTAATCAAACGTACACTTTAACCATACAAAACTTCATCGAACACACATCATGAAACCGTTTGCAAATTATTCGAATTTGTAGCTCATTTCCCGTGACCATAACTATTTATTATGTCAATTTGAAACACATTTTTTGTTTACCAATTTATCCAACCTACCTTTTGACACTTCCGCCACTCTCTGGCATAAAAAAAAAATGTTCTCTTTTGATTGCTGAATCTTTTCGGTAAAATTCTCATCAATAGATCAAGGCAACTCTCTCTGTAAATATCAAGTACCGCTCGTTGAAACAGATTTGAAAAACCGTATCACAATTATTCTTTTTGTCCAGAGAAATCAATCCAAGTGCATTCCTTCCTTTTTCATATTGCTAGAAAACATAACTAACACAAAAGCTGTTACTTTACATGCTAATAAAGTGAAACTCGATTCATTCCACTCTCTTATATACCGTGTGGAGTCGGCCGGAGACCTTATTTTGTGGTACGACGTCAATGTCATTCCTGAACTTAGCAGCTAGCTCAAAGTTGCCGATCATGTCGGGCCAGGAGCAACAGCAGGCGCCAAGAACGGAGCAAGCGCACCGCCGCCGTCGACGAACCCAGCAGCACTACCGCCAGTGCATCGTTGACCACAGTCAACGGGGTGTTCCGCCACGATATCACAGAGCTCCTTACTCCTCTGAAGCGGCTTCTCCGGCAGGCAGTTCCTCCGGTCGTCGAACCTCACCCGGCCTCTCGACGTCAGGTTGACGCAAGCCCCTTCCTCCTCGCAGAAGAAATTGTAGGAGAAGGTGAAGTTGTCCAGCCTCGGCAGCACGCAGACGCCGCCGGGGACAATCCCGGTCATCAAGTTGTGGCCCAGATTCAGGACCTCCAGATGGGCCAGCCCGGCAAGGCTGTAGGGGACTGGGCCCACTAGCCCGTTGCGGCTCACGTCCAGCAGCCGGAGCTTGTAGAGGTAGCCTACCTCCGGGGGCAAGCAACCTTGGAGGCTGGAGTTGACCAGCAGGAGCTCCTCGAGGGTGTCGGCGAATTGGGATATCGTGGGGGGCAAGCAACCGTTGAACCTGTTGTTGGCGAAGACCAGGACGGACGCGCCGCCGGTGCCGTTTAGGGTGGTGGAGGAGATGGTGCTGGTGAATCGGTTGTTGTTGACGAAGATGGCGTCCAGGCCCATTCCGAACAGCTGAGGTGGCAACGGGCCTTCGAACTCGTTGTACCTTTTGTATTAGGAGGAAGAAAAAAAAATTGTACGATCACGTAGTCAAAAGCGCGAGTTTCTAAGTAGAAACGTTTTGGTGATCCAGAATTGTAAAATCGTAAGTTTTTAAGTTTTAAAGCAGAGTTTTTAACTACATAAGTTATAAAAACTTATATTTTGTGTAGAAGCGTTTTAGTGACCTATAAGCGTAAAATCAAGAAACAAAATATTTTTGAGAATTTTTTTTTATAGCATGAATTTTTTTTATTAAAAAAATGGAGAAACAAACTCTAAAATGATGAACATAGTTAAATTATTGAGAACCTGAGGTCCTTTCCCAATTTAAAACTTTATTATAGTCAAAATATTATGTAGTTAAAGTAAGATACTAAGGAATTTAAGTAAAAGTACATGTAATTTAGACAAAACGGATTGAGAATAGGTCGTCGAGTCAGAAAGAATCAGATCGAAAACATTACACATGCATATCCCGCCCTAATAGGTCGGGTAGAATGGATTGACACTCCCAACTCAAACGTTTAAGTATCACCAATTATTTTCAAAATGGTTGATAAAGTATTGATTTATTGGTGACCATTTAACTAATAGTGGTTGAAGAGTTGGGTATCAACAACTATTTTGCAAATAGATTTTTTGAAAGACTCAGATTCAAATCTCTTAAATAGTTCGTAAGACATATATATATATGTGATATACCTAATGTCGAGGAACTTGAGGGATGGGAGGGCGAGGACGGGAGAAGGAAAGGGGCCGACGAATCTGTTGTTGCTGAGGTCGAGCTCGTGGAGGAGGGTGAGATTGGAGATGGCCTGTGGGACGATGCCGCAGAAGCGGTTGCTGTTTATGTGGACGAGAGCCAGGTCGGCGAGAAGGCCTAGCTCGTCGGGGAGGAATCCGGCGATGTCCAGGTGGTTTAGGTCGATTCCGGCCACCACCTGGGTTTCAGGGTCGTCCACCGATGCCGTGCAGTACACGCCATTGTAGCTGCACACCGATGGGCCGGCCCAGTTGGACGTGTAGTTTGATGGGTCGGAGTAGATGACCCGCTTCCATGCTTGCAACGCAAGGTACGCGCTGTGGAGGCGTGGGTTCGTGGCGGCCGCCGGGCGTTGGCGGTGGTGGTGAGTGGAAGAGGAGGAGTGTGTGTGTTTTGCGGTTGCCTTGTTGGAGAAGTTAGGGTTGAGGAGTAGGAGTAAGAAGAGGAAGCTGCAGGCAGCTTGGGCATAGGTGGAAGAATAAGAAGGCATTTTGTTGGACGATGATTGTAATGCGAGATAGCTCATGTGTGGAGGAAGGGTACTTTTTAAAGGAGGCGTTTCATGTAGGAATGTAAATGGGCTGGTGTGGGTCCGGTCGGATAATACTCGTACGGGTGCAGGGCGGACAGGTCGTTACATTTTTATTTGTTATTTGAATTTTTTTTATATTTAACTCTTTTACGAGAACATTTAGAGAAAATATTTCATAAATGCATGAAAAATAAAGTAGAATGAATAGTTTAGTCTAAATAATTGAAAGATAGCATTTTTAAATTTCGTTTGGGATGAAAAAATAATATACATTTAGATATTGATGCAAATCCGGATAAAACAGGTAAGAACGGGATGAGACAGCGCGCGAAAGAGGCCAGAAGCAATATCTATGTCCCATCCCACGTTACTACGAGTTGGGTGATACCCGCTCGAAACAGGTCAGATATCAGAAAATTGCCATTTTCATAGTCTTGGATGGTGTGGTGAGAGTCATTGAATAGAATGATGTTGTTTGCAGGCCAAATGCTGCAACTTCTCGTCTCTACGTGCCGAAAGAGAGTGGGGAAGGGAAGGAGGATAAGAACTTCACAACCACTTAGCTACAACGACGGGCAACCGTTTGCATGATGATCAGTTTTTTGTCAAAGCTGCTTGAGGTTACAGTACAAATCAATGTTGAAAATGGAGTCGATCGGCTGAAAGTGGGAGAGATGATCTCGTCATTATCGATAAGGATGCGTCGTCTGCTTGAGTAATTGTCGCAGGTTGTTTGTAGTGGAGAGGGAGAAAGACAGCTTCATTCCAAGGGTGAGGTTTTTCTGCTATGACTTGGAACTGAAGGGATTAGACCAGAGAGTCCGCCCGACATGTTGTCACGATGATAATAAAGTCTTGCGAGATAATCAGTCTGTCTGTTGGACTTCATTCAGGTTTATGGGTTTAAAACCGGATTGGATCGAAGCAGTTTGGTTCGGTTTTTTGTTTAAATCATTTAAGATCTAGTCAGATTTTCGTAACGAGGTCAACTAGGCCCTTCAATTGCGATTCCAAACAAATTGCATTGGTGTAGGTGCAAATTGGAATGAAATTAACATGGATTTATAATTTCGGGAATGCAAGGTGTTGGTGGCACGACTGCAAATGAGTCGAGTCGAACCAAGTTTTTATAACTCGGGCTTGGCTCGTTAACAAACAAGCTAGCTCAAAATCTGCTTGATTACTAACACTTTAGTTTGTATTTGTCTCGATCTCGACTCATTAATGAGTTTTTAGGAGCTTTATGAGCTCTACTCCTCGAGTTTGGCTCATTAATTAGATCATGAGTTCGGCTCGAACTCAACGCATTTGTTCTAAATGGTTGAGCCATTAAACTAAACTCTAAAATAATTTATAAATTAGATACCCTAATTTTTTTTTGTCATAAATGATACATATGATTGGTATTATTACGAAATATAGATCGATTTACTAATAAGTGAATAGTCGAGTTGGCTCGCTCGCCATAATGTTGAGACACCTCATGAGTCATGAGCTCATAGAGAGCCCAACAATCTAGCATCAAAATCATTGAACACTAAAACGATCTTGCATCAATATCGTATCTCTCACAGAAAATGGCCAAGATTATGTTCAGAATTGAGTTCTAAATGCTCTACCGCAATTTCACAGCTACACAGATCCTGGTAATAAAATTTCACTTCAGACATAACAAGCACATTAGGGATGGCAATGGGTCGGGTCGGGGATGGATAGTGCATATCCGTTACCCTACCCAAAGTAATTTGGGTTTTACCCATGCCCATACCCACATAAGAAACGGGTAGGAAATCCAAACCATGCCCATACCCGTTCGGGTTTCGGGTATCCACGGTTATCCATGGATAATATTTTTTCTTTATAACTCCAACCAATACGTTAATATTTACACGTATTCTCACGTTACATAAGACGAAAAGTACGACAATAATTCACTAGAATGAAGAAAATTAATTAAAACAACACAATTTCATGAAAAAATGATATTTATATGCTAAATATAAAGTATGTTAGAGAAAAATATTGATTATTTCTAGACAAAATACATATGCATGTGTATAATCGGGCGGGTTCGGGTTGGATAGTGAGAAAACCATGCCCACCCATTACCCACAATATTCGGGTTCGGGTTTTACCCGTACCCACTAAAAGTCCTTCGGGTTCGGGTTTTACCCTACCCGATTAGGTCGGATTCGGGTGGATATCCACGGTTACGGATATTTTTGCCATCCCTAAAGCACATATGCAACTCTTCTTAGACAACGTATTTTGATTATTATTCTCATCCACGGTCCAAACGAGGAACCATTCAGCTCAGTACTCTGACACAACAAAACCACACCCCAAAAATTTGCAGCTGCCAGGTCTAATCACAATGGCCCTATAGCATCAAACCCACACTACGTACTGGGATGACAAAACAGTACTTGAGACCATCTAAAATTATTCAAACTTTAGAAAAGAACCCCCCTACTACACAAGCATTCTAATTTCTCATCATCATAATTGCTCTCTCCCTATCCCCTTGTATACCCACAACCTACCTAATTAGCCGCCGCCAGATCCATACTTCTTGCCGAAGACGATCAGCTGCAGCTTATCATAGCCAGCAAGCACACCTGCACCAGCCACTGCTCGAAGGATGTTCGCACCAGCACCCTTGAAGAGTGATTTCGTGCCTTCTTTCTGGACAATCTGCTTGAATGCATCCAGCGAGCTGCTGTACTTCACAGCTTCCCCTGATGTCATCATCATTCTTCTTCGCACGGTATCAATTGGATAAGATGCCAGCCCAGCTCCTATTGTGATACCCCATCCCAGCAAGAAACTTGCCAGGAAACTATCCTGCAGATGCCCAAAAGAAAAACACAAGCCCAAGTACTCATATCAATACATTAGGCCCTTCCCTATACTATCCTGCGGAGAACAAATGAGTAAGAAAAAGAAATGACAGGGGACAAATAGATAGAAGAAATGGTCTAACCTGCAAATCACCAGTGAGAACCACAGGTTTAAGAGAGTCGTACATGCCAAAGTAGAGTCCACGGTACACAATGATTCCAACACAAGAGATGTTGAAACCACGGTAGAGTCCAGCAACGCCATCAGTTTTGATAGTTTTCTTGTACACGTCAACCAAGCCATTGAACTGCCTCTCGCCACCCTTTTTAGCTGCCTTTGCATCATTGGCCAAACGTGTTCGAGCATAATCCAAGGAGTAAACAAACAAAAGAGATGATGCACCAGCTGCTCCACCAGACATCAAGTTCCCAGCAAACCATTTCCAGTAACCATCCCTGTCTTTCTTGAAGTTAAACAGCCTCTTGAAGTAATCTTTGAAAGCAAAGTTCAGAGCCTAATCATTCATGAACAAGTATTTCAGTTCTAGAAAGCAGATCAAAAAGCAAGGAGGGAAAACAGCACCATCACCATACAAGATAAACATCATTTCAAGATCGTTTGTCCATGGTAAACTAAAAAAATGCAGCGAGGAAAGAGGAATGCAAGTTAAAAATGCAAGGTACCTGAGTAGGGAAGTATCTGATAACATTAGCAGTGTTGCCTCTCCAAAGGGCAATCACACCCTCGTCCTTCATGGTTCTCGCAAAACAGTCACCAATCCCCTTGTAGGGTTCCGAAAGACGGCCAGCTTTAATCATCTCATCTTGATTCTGAATCAGGAGCTTAACACGCTCGATAGGAGCAGCTGCAGTCTTGGAAACCGCAGCAGAGACTCCTCCCATGAGGAAATCAATCATAAAGGCACCAAAGCCTTTCTCAGAGGGTGCTTGAACAAAGATGGGGGAATGGGTGGGGAGAACTGCCAACCCAGTTCCCTGCATAGTGTAATGGAGCGGAGACTGGAAACCAGTGTCAAAAAAACTAGCAGTCCCATTCCTGCTTTGCAAGCCTGGAGACAGCTTGGTGACAAGATAGGATTGCCCATATATCTTCTGAACAACTGATGGATGCTTTGATCCATCCGCCATGTTTGCAATTTAAGATGGTGACCCTGAACAGTATAAACACAACATAGCTTGAGAAAAGAATAATCTATAAACCACGGAAAGGAAAGCCGCAAAAGTGGAGGTAACTTTGATCACTGATCTGTCTATCGTTCATCCATCCTGCTATAACTTAACAAGGACCGATCAAGCATAATCTACAGCCATCCTTCTCTCCTCCTAAATCGTAAGGAAAACAGGATTTGCACTAACAGTTCAAATCAAAGACGCTGATCCAATTAACCTCACTACAGGTGATGACAGTTCAGCTTCTAACTTCCAATTTTCACCCAACTAACTAACAAGAAGAACCCGCGATAACGAAGCACAAACCAGAAAGCTAGCACGATTTGATCTGAACTGCCTTGGAGAATTCCGGTCCTGGCAATTGACGTAGAATCACACCACCAAGCAAAAAAAAAAAAAAACACAATACGGAATTCCGACATTCCGTCATGTAGAGCAAGACGCGTCGCTATGGCGGAGATAAAAGAGCTGGTCGACATTAGGTTTCCTACCCAAGCTGCGGTCATTTTATTTCTCAATAAACAAACAGAATATCGAAGAAACGGAGCGACACTGAAAACCGATCCGGCGGCCGGAGCGGCACAGTAGTCAACCGAAGTAAACAATCCATTGAAAGAGAAATAAATCGGAGTGAAAACCTGGAGAAAGTCGATCGAGAGAAAGCTAGCTACCTCGCCGCCACCTTCCCGTATTGCCCGGAGAAAGCACGCAGACCGACCAGAAGTTTCTGAATTTATACCTTAGAAGTGCACTGATAGGGTTATGGGTAAAATGACGACGCTAGCCTCGCCCGCCATGGAAAGGATGAGAATGGGATTACTCTCATTTTCATTTGAACAACCTTTGTTTGGGGTTAGGAGTTGGACTGCTGGAGACGTTGCCTCCACCTCGAGTAGTGTAGTAGTAGTAGTACAATGGAGTTGGACACTTGCGGCGGAATTCTGGTCTCCCGGGCCCCGGCCGGATACGGCACAATTTTTCGCAACGCATGTAAGATATGGGTCCCTCGTTTTTACGACTTTTCTAGTTTTCTTAGATGTAGCTTTTTTTATTTAGAATAAATAATATGTCAACATTCCAAAATTTTAGTATTTTAAATAAAAAATAGTTATAAAATTATTAACGATAACAGAAAAATACTAATATTTTTAAGTGTTACGAAAGATTTGGCTAACTATTAGTAATTTTATAGGTTTCACTTATAAAAAAGAATAAAAAAAGATTTGATTAATAATTGGAATTGTTGCTCATGGAGGTTTGACAAGACCACACACATGCATGTGTGCGATTTCAATTTTTATTAAATTAAACGAACATCTCAACAACTTAGCGATCAAACATCATAGATGATTATCACTTAGGATGAACTTAACAAAATTGGACGGCAAGTGACCATCGATGAAATGAAAGGGAAACTTAACAATCAATCAGAAAGGAGAATTTTGTTGGTGGCAAATATGATTTTTTTTATTTTCTAAATTGAGTGATGAAACATGTAATTTACTAAAAAAAATATTGAAATGCAAACTGAAATGAAAGCGATACAAGTCAAACTAAACAAAAACTAATATCAATCATCAAATCTCGGCTCACTTAAAATTATGTACAATTGCATCTTGATAACGGAATGAGTTCCACTTAATGTCTCGATTACGTAGTAAGTTTGTTGCTCAACATCTTGTATATATAGATATACTTTTCCTCATTTGGAGTACTGTAACGGAAACTAAAAAGATAACGGGAAAGAGAGATACTTGCGTATAGATTAACATACATACAAAAACCTTCCCGTAAAGAAATCAGATAAATAACACACAATCACCTCGACCAGCTACTTCATCTCCTTTCACCTTACTGGGTTACGACAATACATAACACGAATTATGTGCATAGACATCACGTACTCATTTACCTACAAGGAGAGGAAGACTGACACCCTGTGAATCCAACTACATGGCTTCTGCACATAACGAATTAAAACGGCAGAGAATTCAGTTGCAAGGGTAATAGTCTAATAGAGTGAAAGGAAGAATAACCAAAGCAGAAACTGAGGAAAATGCAAGAGTTGTAGTCCATGGGATTGGGAGCTAACCTTGTAATCTCCGCCATGGTGCTGAACTAGGGGAATGTGAGAGAGGTCTCATGGAGGAAAACATCAGAGAAAACCACTATGCAGAACACAAGGAAAGCTTTAGCTTTGTCAGCAAGTCCTTCAGCTTCCTTAATAATTGGGGATCCGAGCACAGGTATTCTTCAAAGCACTCCCTCAAATCGCGCAGTAACATCTTGTCATCATTAGGGGCATTGTTGAGCAGCTCCTTAAACAGCCTCTCCCATAACTTGCAGTTCCAGTACCTGAAGATAAACAGCAACAAGCATGTCGAAACAACAAGTAGCTTGCTAAATGAATAGCTGTACAAAAAACAGAATACCTTCTAAAAGGCAGTCTAGGCATATAAACGTGGTCGGCATCTGAAGTGCGTTTCCTTTCTATCTCCATGTAGGATCCGTGTAGCATCAGGTGTGCGACGCCACAAAGGTTGTAGGAGTCAGCCTGGCAAAAGAATACAAGTGAAGGGTTAAGCTAAGTTATGCAGCATTCCATGTAGCTACTGACGCAAAATAGTCCACTAGTTATTGACCACAAAACTTGCCTGGCATTTCCAGCGTTTGTTCTCCTGCATCTCAACACATCGAAAGCCAGAAGTCCGGCAGCTTCCTTCAAACTCGACTTGGCTTGGGAAAAGATGCAGGTCTATAGCCCTTCCCCAGTCAATTAGGCAGAGACCCTGACAAGACTAACCTCTGAATATGCATAGATATGTATGAAATTTGAAAGAATATATATCTGTAGGAACCAAAAGTTAACCTGTTCACGCCAATGGCCATCTCGTTTCTTATAATCATCTTCTTTAAGTTCACCTCTGCCAAAATCCGAGAAGTATGCTCAATGCAAGCCCAAGCCAGTCAATGCCATAAGGTGGAGCATCACAATTCAATGTCTAGTACAGGCAAACTAGCTAGGTTCAAAAGGTGTGAAGTGTCTGTGTGTCTGCGTATGATAATATTGCTGGAGCTCCTAAATTTTTTCATATAGAAAAATGCAATCTTTTCACAAGGTTCCTCTGAATCGCAGAAAAGGAACTGTGTCTATTTAGCATAAAATACAACAAGACACCATATAAGGGATATGGTACACATTTACCTGGCACAGCGAACAAGAAGGTTGTCAGGCTTGAAATCCCCATGAATAAGGCCAACGTCATGCAAAGTTTCCAGCATACATAGCATCTCTATGGTGTAATAAACACATAGCACTTCCTCCATGGGTTTGCGAACAACCCAAAAGGAATTTATCACGTCCTGCATGTGTGCAATGTGCAAATGTAGTATTTGAGGGAAAGTGCCATAGAAGCGGATGCCACATTGAAAATACAAAGAGATTGGAAGTGGAGGCAGAGGAACCCACGTGAAGTGTCCCATGGGATAAGTAGTCACAGACAAGTATGCTGTAGTCCGAGTAAAGATGCATTCGTTTAGCAAACCCGAAGCTTGACCTCTGGTTGATTTTGTAAAATAAAGGATAAGTATTCCGTAACCCACAACTGTTAGAAAGTAAGGAGTCTAGGATTGCATACTTGCTGGTCTGGAATACGCTTATCAAGTTGACGATATATATAAAATTCCCAAGGAAAAGGCGGCGTTTGTATCTGCAAGGCATTTCAGATTGAGAATACAGATTGCAATGAACTCCAAATTGTTGATTTTGGATCCTGAATCAAGGGCAGATATGTTTACCTTCAGTGCAACGTACTCATCAGGAGTGCTGTCATCATGTGCTTTAAATACTAAGGCAAAACGACCTTGCCCAGTACAGCCCTTGATTTGGTACTTTCTCTTACCTTCAAGTACCCCAGACGGAAAATGTTAAATAAATATAAATCAAAGTGTGAGTAATTAACTAAATCTCCAATTACCAAGTACTAAGCTTGTGGCTTCGTGAACCTGCCAATATTCAAATATCCATGAGAAAAGAAAGAATTTCTACCAATGTTTCAGACGTCCACAAGGATCAACTGGCTACCTAGAATGTCTAATAATATTTATCCAGTGGATTTCCAATGCTCATAAACTACTTAAAGTGAACTACAGAGGAAACTTCTCATGCCTAAAACTCTTATCAAAAGTTGAATATAACATCCAACTTTAGATCAATCCTTATCGTTTTTCCATTAACCTTTCACTGACGAAGACAGGATATGGCCATCAGATATATATTAACTTAGGGTCAACATTTCACCCAACTCGCTTGCAACTAAACTATAACAAAAGCATAAAGGGAAGCTTGAAATTAAGGAAACTCAAAAACGGGGTTACCTAGCTCCAGCGTCTTGTTCTTTGACGAAGCTCGGAGTGAAGATAAATCCACTTTCCCGGAGTAGGCTTTATTACATAGATGATATCCCTAAAGCACATGCAAAAAGAACTTATGCAACAGAGTAACCGATGATGACTAGATATGATATAAGAGTAAAATCTTCAATCATATTTACTATGAGTGTACCCTACATCAGATTTTGAAAGCGAAGGTTTTATCTTCTGCAACAGGTTATCCATTGTGGAGTCAGACCAAGGATTAATACATGTTTCTGACCTGCTGGACTTATCGCCATCAATCTGCAAACAGTTAGAAACTTGAAAGTCAGCCTAAACTAGACGACACTTGTACCAAACACTTGCCATAAGAATATAGCATGAAAAAGCCGCCATGCTTTATCAGATTGGTCATCTTTCAAAAGTTGCTTAATATCGTAGTAGTAGTTTAAGCCAGAAACAGGAGGCCTTGCAGATTGGAACTTTTGTGCCCAAAGAATCAATGTTTTGGTGGTGGATAACCTAATCTCCTTAGACCTTATGCATGAAAATTGAAAAGGAAATGGAATACAGGTGCTGCTCAATATACGCCGGAATAAATGCATTTACTTGTACTTCAAAGTCATTCCAAAGTCAACCAACACATTATAAGCACAATAACCAGAGGTGTGGGTTCATAGTGTTAGCCATACCTTTTCCAGTGAGGAAGCATTTACTCTATCAGACATTCTATCAAGAAAAAGTGAACATGCACTTTTCAACCTCTCCAGTGGTTCAGCTTCCCTGGCATTCAGGTGCGGAAAAGCAAGAAATTTGACTAGAAACATCAGGTACCAACTACAACCCAGTAATTAACTTCTCTTATTTCAAGTCATCATCCAGTCACGCAAGGAAATAACAGGGAGAAGAAATTACCTTGAAATGCCAATTTGATATGCCCAATATGCTTCTTGCCACATCTCTTTACCTTCAAGGAAACATGCATACAGCTCGTAAAGCAAAGAGCTCCGTATGCATATCTTTCTCTTCTCCATCTCTTTGAAAATTGTTTCAAAGTCACTACTGCTTCCCAACTATCAAATCAAGCAAAAACCCAATCTGTTAGTCAGTGTGTATCAGCCCTTGCAAAGTGGACAAAAAGAACATGAAACAGATCATTCAGCTCGTTCTACAATCAAAATCGATTGCAAAAAATGTCATCACCCAATTAATACCCAACAAGAGCAAAGAACAGTGAATCGTTTCATTTGTCTCGAGATAGATGCCGTCAACTTTACTTGCAACCACCAGCTGCCCAACTAAAGGAAAGAAAACTTGCATCCCAACAAGTAACCTGTTGGGTCTACATCAACACCCACCCAGAAACTGAGTTCCCGGCGATAGTTACAGAACTATCGGCAGCAAAAACATCACAAAAACCTGCACCAAACACTTAAAAACCCTAATTCCGCACAGGAAAGCTGAAACTGTGCGCCGAAACCAGCAAAACAGTTACGATGCAGATAATCAAGCTCTAAACCAGCTAAAAGACTTCAAGCACCCAGTCAAAAACTAAGCAGATTGGTTCAGGAACAACACCCACGAGAGAAAACTCGAAAGTCGCAACAAAAAAGATAGAAAATCAAATTTACATGGAGGAACCAAATCTGGAGGAATCTGGGATCATCTCGGTACTTTATATCGTCCTTGAAATTGTCAATACAGTTCGACACAAGCTCTTCCAGTTCCAAAAAGTTTCCACCGTCATGAGCCTCTCTTATCGACCTGGAATTCAAGTTTCATAATCAGAAACAAATTCAGCAACCACGAAATTTAGAAAGCCAGCATTTCTGCACGTAGACGAAACAGGAAGCGGAGAACGTACAGAAGCCACTGCAAGAGAGGGTCCCGATCTGAGGGTGATTCGCCGGATTCTGCCAACATCACGACCGTGGACGGAGGAGAACGGAAGAGAAGTGGGGGGAAATCAGAAGTGCTCAAAATTTCAAAATGATGGGAGTGGGACGATTGATTTTATTTTAGTGCGGTTTCGGGAGTTTGGTTCCGGGCCGGAATAATGGTAATGGGCCCAGTCCGGGCTAGAGTTGAAGCGAGGTAATAAAACTTGGGCTGGACTAGGGCGGCCTGATTGGAGCGAAAGAAGTGGGGTCCAGTCGGGTTCGTAGTCGGATCTTTTTGGGGCAGTCGGCCGTCCCCACAGCCACTGAAAGATACCCTTGTTTGGAAAGGACACTGACCCAATCTCCGTAAAGGCTGGGGTGTCCAGCGCCATCATTCCCCCTAAGTACCGGTCGCCCACGTTTCGAGTTCCCATTGGCTGGGTCGCACTCTCACTCGCCAAAAGGTTCGCGTATCCCGTACGTGGCGAGATCTGGTTCGTGAAGGGTTAGAATCCTGCTGAGTGGATGTTAGTCCACTGTAACTCTGGTAGGGGCCGGCACTACACGAGAAGGGGAACAGAAATGAGGCCACCACCACAAAATCAACTCCCCTACATCATAACTTAACGAGGCTCTAAAAGCCACACAACTTTATCTTTATAGATTAAAATTGAATTATAAATGTTATTTTTTTTATAGAAATTATAAATGTTATAATTTTTTATTTTTTTTTGATAAAGGTGAAATAGATTAATTGAAAGAGAAACCGATGAAAAGACCAAGGCAGGAGAGGAAAGAAAACACCTCTCCCGAGCCAAGGAAAAACAAAAAACAGAAAAACAGCCAACAGAGCAACACGCCAAAAAGGCACTAACGATACAGGCGAAAGGCAAACAACAGCTCCCAAAACAAAAGGCAGCGTCAGGAAGACAACAGCAGCAGACGAGCAGGGGGGAAAATCAAGAGTCCTCCAAGTTCGCATCACCAACCACAACGGCTCCTCCAAATCATCATCAGACATATGGATAGGAGACGAGGCAACATCTCTTGGAAGCAAGCGAAGTTTAACCAAATTCAACCAGGACTTAGCTTGATCCCTATCGACCTTGTGTGCAGTGCTCAACCACTCAGCAATACAAAAAGCAATCCGAAACGACACAACCTGACCGGCCACAGCCACTCCTCTGAAGATCCTGGAGTTACGTTCCAACCAGATGCGCCAGCAGAAGGCGTGAAGAAAAATCAGGGAGCACCACTCCGTAGGATTAGCCGGCTGACCGCATGGCCACCTCCTTATCAAATCCATAATATCGCTGCCATTAGACCTAAGATCAACAAAGGAAGAAAGAGATTGCCACACTTCCTTGGAGAACCGGCAAAGAAGGAAGAGATGATCTGCAGATTCCTCATGTTCACCGCACAAGACGCACCGATTAGGAAAAGCCCACCCTCTCCGCTTAAGGACATCTTGAGTGAGGATCTTCTTCTGGAAAACAATCCACATGAACACACAGACTTTCGGAGGAACCACAGGCGCCCACACCAATTTGTAAGGGAAGGAAACCAATCCAGGAAATCGCTCCTTGAGGCACTCCGAATAAAGGGAACGAGTAGTGAATCCCGAGACTGGAGAGGGTTCCCAAATAATTCGAGAAGGACATGCATAGAAGGAGTTAGCGGGTAAAGCACTAAGCATATTAAACAAAGATAATCGCTCACTCTCACCCCCCCCCCCCCTCTCAAAAGGAATTTCAAAGGAATATTCCAAATGACTCTCCCCTCAGAAACAGTGACAGCCTCAGAGATCCGGCAATTAGGCAACACAGCAGCGGCAGCAACCATAGGAAACTCTTCACCAAGAGGCCTTTTGCGAATCCAAACGTCATGCCAAAGAGAGACCCTTGAACCAGCACCTGCTTCCACATGAGCGAAACTCCAGAATAGGTTCTTAGTCTTCGAGATATGAGCCCAAAGACTCAAACCATTAGGGCCAGGACTGGGACCCGGCATCCACTCGGACGAAAGATTAGGGAACTTGATCGAAACAAGCTCCCTCCACCAAGAATTCCGCTCTAACGCGAAACGCCACCACCACTTACTCATGAGGGATTGATTCCGGAGCCTAATGTCAGCAATGCCCAGGCCACCGAACCGCTTTGGAGCTTTGCACAAATCCCAGTTAACAAGATGGGGCCTCCACACATCCTGCCTCCCAGCCCAAATGAAATCACGCTGAATCTTTTCCAGTTTGTCAATAACAGAGCGAGGAGCACTAGAAAGACAGAACATATACACAGACTGACTAGTCAAAACCGCATTACACAGAGTGATCCGCCCGGCCAGAGAGAGATAAGATGACTGCCACACATCCAGCCGTCGACCCATTCTATTAATAACATTATTCCATATGGCAGAGGAGGTGGGAGTCGCACCAAGCGGAAGGCCGAGATACTCCGTGGGGAGGAACTTCCACTCACAGCCCATAATTTCAGCAAATCTATCAAAACCATCAACTTCACCCACCGGGAAAAGTTTACTTTTCTCAAAGTTCACCTTGAGTCCTGTAATACTTTGAAACCACAAGAGGGCAGCAGTCAAGTGGAAAACCTCAATTTCTGAAGCATCACAGAAGATAATCGCATCATCAGCATACAATAAGTGGCTCACAACTCCGGTTCTGCTTTGCTCGTTCATACAAAAACCAGTGCTAAGGTGAGCCTCCCTAACCTCATCCAAGATAAATGACAAGACGTCCATGACCAAAGAAAAGAAAAAAGGAGAAAGAGAGTCCCCCTGTTTCAAGCCTCTATGCATCCCAAAGAAACCCCCCGCTTCACCATTAAGTAACACCGAAAGCTTAGACGACGTCACCATACCTCTAATCCACTTCCGGAAATGAGGATGAAGGCCCATGTTCTAAAAGATTCTGAAAAGACAGCCCCAACTCACCGAATCAAATGCCTTCTCAATATCGAGTTTCAAAATCAACCCTGGACGACCACTCTTCTTCCTACTATCAACCAACTCGTTTGCAATCAAGCTAGCTTCATGAATTTGTCTGCCCTTAATACCTGCAAACTGCTGGAAAGAAATAGTCTTCTTCATAAGAGGCTGCAGCCTTTTGAACAGAAGTTTTGATATGATCTTATTTAAGCTACCGACAAGGTTGATAGGGCGGAAGTCGTTCAGGGCCTCAGAAACTTCTTTCTTAGGGATCAGCCACAGGAAAGAGTGCCCAATAGAGTCAGGGACAAGACCAGTAAGATAAAACTCATCAACCGCCTTCAAAACATCAGCCTTAATGATATCACATGCTTTCTTAAAAAACTCGATGGTAAAACCATCCGGACCCGGAGCCTTGTTACAACCACAAGATTTCACAGCCTCCCATAATTCAGTTTCCGTGAAAGGGGCAATGAGTTGGGAATTCTCCTCCAACCTCACAAGATCCTTCTTATACTCAGCAGGGAAGGGCCGGTAAGAGTTCTCTTCAGTGAACCTTGCTTGGAAGTGAGATATAAAGGCACATTTGATCTCCACTTTTTCACAAAGAACCTGCCCATTAACTTTACTCACCTGAATAAAATTCCTCCTCCGATTAAAATTCGCAATCCGATGGAAATAAGAGGAGTTTTTATCCCCCACCTGGAGCCAGCAATCCCTAGACTTTTGCCTCCAAGAGATCTCTTCCATCAACAACACCTTATCCAACTCACATCTCAGTAACTTCCTATCATTCTTCAGAGTCTCATCAATCGGATTCCTCTCCTCCGCGTCATCAATATCCTTGATCTGCTTAAGGATCCTCTCAATCTGCTGTTGAACTCTACCAAACACTTCCACATTCCAAATTTTGATGAGTGGTTTGGTATTTCTCAATTTCCTCCCGAAACGGAAGAGCCAACCCGAGCCAGAAACAGGGACACTCCACCATCCTATAAGACTTTGAAGGAAAGACGACTCAAGAAGCCACATATTTTCAAATTTCCAAGGCCGATGGATGAACTCGGCAGGACCCCATCGAAAGCAAATCGGACTGTGATCGGACTCTACTCTTTCAAAAGCGAGCAAAGGACCAGGCGCAAAAGCCTCCTCAAAGGAAGGACTCACCAGAGCCCTATCGATGCGAGAGAAAGATTGGCATGATCCACTACCCTGTCGAGTGAACAGGGCACCTGAGAGGGGAAGATCGATCAGGTGGTTCGAATTGATGAAGTCGTTAACAACCAAGCGCAAATATACAAAAATATTTTAGTAATAAAAAATATAAACTAATGTGTATTTTTAATTTTTTTAACTGGACTATCTCAATTACTGCTACCAGGTCCTCAACCAACAAAATGATCACTTAATTATATTATTTATACATAGCTTATCCTGTCACTATTTGACAACCAAGACCAACCTCATTTCGTTTCTTGTAGTATAATTATCGGTTATTTATTTAGAGGTCTCATATTTAGGGTTTTTTAATGTGCTTATTAGTCACCACATTTTTCTAATTTTTGTTATTATAATTTGACTTTTTTAATTTTTTTTGCATGAGTAGTAGCACCATTGTTTGCTTTTGGGTTATAGGTATAATATGCCCCTCTACTATGACGTTTTATCAAACATGCCCCTCTACTATGTTTTACATCAACATGCCCCAGTACTTTGGAAAAATTATCAAACATGCCATTTTGTTAAACTTTTCATCCAAAAACCGTTAATCATGGTCAAAATTTGGTTTGGGCGAAACAAATGTCTAAAATATCCCTAATAATTTCACTTTGGAATTTTTTGGTCCTTTTGTATAACTAATTAATTCTAATAATTTCACTTTGACGAGACCGAGAGAAATAAAACAGGGGACAAAACTAATATTTTCCCTCCCATTTGCCGATATCGGGTCGTCTAAATCTCGTTTCAACCATGATTGATAATTTTTTCAATGTAAATTTTAACAGAAGGGCATGTTTGATAATTTTTTTAAAATACAAGGGCATGTTTGATATAAAATATAGTAGAGGGGCATGTTTGATAAAACGTCATAGTAGAGGGTATTATACCTATAACCCTTTGCTTTTATATATTTTGATAATGCTTTGGTGAGCTGTCCTACAAGAGAAGTATTTTGTATATATTTTATTGATAATTTTGAAGGGAATAAATTTGGTATTTAGTATATACCTGT